GAGCTCTCTGAGTACATCTACATTAGATGCTTTACTGTGGACTAGACTGATCTAATACACAGTAAATTGTCAACCTCTACATGTGCACTGGTCTTACTTACATCAAACAAATGAAATAATATATAGAGAAAGCTCATGATACAGGAACTGATAAAGTGCTTCACCAAAAAAAAAGTGCTTTGTCTTGCTTATTTATAAGTATATAGCTATAAACTCTGAGTGGAAGAGACTTTTCCAATTTGCATTCAAATTTTAACACTACAGGGTTGATTTACAAAGATCAGTGAGTTAGATACCAAACTGCCATCTACTTTTTATAGGATTTAGGTGCCTCACCTTCTTAGAGGTTTTAGTAAATTCCATTTGTGGCCTACCTGCACCTTTGTGCATCTGACCCTTCAATCCATTAAGGAGCTTCCCCAAACTCAGAATGTAAAAAAACAACGTATGACTACTTCTGGTTTCCTGTGCCATTCTTAACACAGTGGGATGATGGAAATGCTTATATACATTCACAATATCCTGGCTTGTGGATTGCAAGTGAATAGGTTTCCAAGCCTTTCTTCTTTTCATGGAAATTTGTCTTTTCTGAAGTTTCATGTTAGATTTGCAGCTCGAAGAGAACAACACATTTTTTTTCTGCTGCTCTCCACTTCTGCTCTGAAACTGCAATAGAGTTTCTTTCAATCCCAGCTGTACAGTAACCAGCCGCAACCATCAATGCTTTACAGGCCCATATGTTGTAGAGTTCTGTAATGGCACAGTCTTCTTAATATTTCCAGAATCGTTAGAGACAGAATATCAAATCTCCTTTGGCTTAGATGAAGCGTTTTATTAGCAGCACAATGTTATACAGTAGTCTCTGTTTTTTTTACAGTTCTACTTTGAAGGTGCTGAGTTATTACAGTCTTCTCTTTATGGTATCTGAAACAAAGACCAGCAGAAATTATTTCAGAGCACACAGAGCTATGCATACAATTTTAACTAAATATTAATATTATATTTGAGTAGGTCAACATTTCATACCAGAAAAAGTTCCCAATTGAAAGTGGCAACATTTTTCCTAAAAAAATCTCATTGATTTTTTTTTTTTTTTAATTTCCAGACCCTTTCAATCCAAAGCAATTTCTTGGTAACAGAACCCCTGTTGATGTAAATTGACTGACTTCTACTGACCTAACATCTCCTACAAATTTAATAATTTAACTACATTTCTAAAGAATCTATCCAAGTATACCCTCAGTTGGCATCAGGAAAGTTCATGTCCATTAGCAGAAGTGGAGCTTTAAACATTTTATCTCCATCTTGAATAGGTACTTACACAATTACTATAGTATCTAAATGCCTCACATATTTTTCAAGTATGTAGTCCTATAAGGGAAGTAGTACTATCTGTATTTTGCAGATGGCTAAGAGAGGCCTAAAGAGGCTAAGTAACTTGTTCAACAATGACAGTCGGTCTTTCATCAGCCCCATGGGATGCCCATGCCCGCTACGGGACAGGGAAGTCCGGGTGAGGGTGATTCCCTGCCCTCCATTAATGCTGACTTTGTGAAGGAACATCTTGAGAAGCTGGATACCTTCAAGTCAGCCGGCCCTGACAATCTTCAGCCCAGGGTACTCAAGGAGCTGGTGAGCATCATAGTCCAGCCTCTAGCGCGGATCTTTGAAAACTCTTGGCGCTCTGGTGTAGGGCCCGAAGACTGGAAGAAGGCCAATGTGGTGCCTATCTTCAAGAAAGGGAGGAAAGTAGATTCGGCTAACTATAGGCCCATTAGCCTGACTTCTATCCCGGGGAAGATCTTAGAAAAGTTTATTAAAGAGGCCATCCTTAATGGACTGGCCGACGCCAACATCTTAAGGGATAGCCAGCACGGGTTTGTTGCGGGTAGGGCTTGCTTGCCCAATCTCATTTCCTTCTACGACCAGGTGACCTATCACCTGGACAAGGGAGAAGAGATTGATGTCATATATCTTGACTTGAAAAAAGCCTTCAATCTGGTGTCCCATGATCCCCTCTTGGAGAAACTGGCCAATTGTCGCCTTGGGTCCTCCATGATTCACTGGCTGGAAAATT